TATATATATATAATATATATATATATATATATATTGATATAGATATTTATAAGTTTTGTTACACAAGTTTTTTCAATAATATGCACTGTTGAAGATTTGCATTACGATTCCCTCTGTTTACTAGCAGAGTAATAACATGATCGAGAAGAAAAGCTAAAGGAATAAGCCTACCTCAGGTAAAGCCAGAGTACCAACTGCTTGGATAGGGAGTCCACCAAAAAGACCCAGGTAAGTCCTGGCATCATACTTATGTTAGACTAATTTGCTAGCCTTGTTTTGTTGCTCATCTTTAAGATCTCTTTGCCTTATTATATCTTAGGTGCACTTACACGACATCCTCCACTTTCTCTTTCTTGGGATATATTCTGGTCACCAAATCGATCTGGTTACTCAATAGAAAACATGGTTATCTATAAAGGCAAACTATGTTATACAACAAACATACTTCTGAAATGGGTATAAAAGAAATGAGCAAGCTAAACAATAAAACAAAACACACAACCAAGTGTTACATACCTCCTTTAAGTCAAAATCATCCTTCAAAGTCCTGGGAATCTGATGCCAAAGATCTTGAGGCACTTCCAGACTTCTCAACCTCTTCTCAAAGTTTGGTTTTATTCCAAAGCCTGGTGTAAATCGGCTCAGAGAAAGCCTTCCTTCATGATAATTCTCCTCTCTCAGAAACAAAGCTTCTCCTGTGGCAAATTTGAGAAAGGAGTCGCCCAATATTTCAAGCCTCTCCAAGTTAAAGTCTTCACTGGCTTCTTTGAGTGTGAATGCATGTAACATGTGGAATGGTTGAATATAGTCATAATTCTTCCTGTTTAAGAATTTCTGCACAGTGTTTTCTGAGGAACCAAGCAGCTTATAGATCAATGTCTTTGTCCAGGAGAAGTCAAAAACTTTGTGGTCTGAAGTAGGTAATGTAATGCCTGTTTCCTTAATAAATTCCTGCATTAAATTAAGACTGTTCAGACGATGGAAGATAGACGGAATGCACATAATTTGCCACCACAATGAGGCTTTCAGGGGAAATAATCCACAGAATTCAGGTATAAATGTGGCACCAATTTCCCTTCCTTCTCTTTTGATGTCTTTGTTATCTTCTTTAAGTAATTAAGTTCCTTAGGAATGTGTTTTGCTTCTAATAAAGGCTGATTCTTGTTCTTGACTTCCAATCCATACCTTTGAAGGAAGTAGTCTTCAAATGATTCAAATTTCCCCCCTGTTCATCTAAGATCTGTGAGATATAATACAGTTGGTCAGATGTGCCATACAATGGGTAAATCAAGGCATCTTCAAAGTCTGATCTTATAAACTTAGTATTCTGACTTGGTGACTTTAGCTTCATAGGTCTAAGTGAGTCACAAGAATAGACCTGATTCAGTACATTCAAGTCAATGCTTTCAGAAAAATCAAGAGGTACAATAAACAAGCCACATTTGAATTCTTCAGGATCAAAATATGTCAAATTTGACTCTAACTGTAGGTTTTCAAAAACCAGTCTATGGAACTTCTTAATCTTGTCAAATAAAACTGTACCAAAGTCTGACAGTGGTCCAACCTCCTTTACATTTACAATCACATCTCCCCATTTTGAGAAAAAAAGTGGAAAGGGGCTAGATGCCAATCCTTCCCTACAGATAAAACCAATCTTTGTATTAGATGAAGAAGACTCAATGGTTACACTAGCCTTTCTCTGACCAAAGGGTTTTGTGTCTATGGAATACAGACAGTATGACTTTCCATGAACATACGAAAATTGACAACAAATATCCTTGACATACACTCTTTTTCGCTTCCTGGTACCAGACTCTGATGTTCCATCTGGAACTGGTTCTTCAGGTGGAAGGTCTACCAAACCTTCTACTAAGCTATCATCAGTACTCTCCTTTGGCCGAAGATTGGAATTTAGCTCTCCCATCTCATGTAATTTGATACAGAGTTGCAGTGCAGCAGACTTCTTTGCTAAGTCTTTATTTTTCCATCCACTACCATATATTGTTTCTTTCAGAGGTGCCATGATTGGAAGTCTGATCCCAATAGTGATAACTTCATCTTTGACCTGTTCTACTATCTCTGGTAAATTATCTGTAAATCTTTCAGAAGGTAATTTCCCACAATACAAATTCACAAGCTGTATGGCAGAGTTGCTTGTAATCTTTGGTCCTTCAGGCCCATAGGGTTCATAAGGCAGAATGTATTCATCTTTCGCAAAATGGTTCCTTGTTACCTGTGCTGCTGGCAAATTACGACCATGACACCAGGACTGGAGTAAGGCCTCGATTTCCTTGTAAACTTCAATGCATCCTAGAAATTTTCTCGCCGTTGTCTCCTCTACCATTAGCACATAAGCTGACGGTTGGGCACGAGCTCTACCCCTTGACTGTATATAAGCTCGATAATTCTGTGGGATATCAAAGCGAACTACCACATTGCACTTCCTAATATCAACTCCTTCTTCCAGCACACTTGTTGATATCAAAAAATTAGTTTCTCC